TTGTCAGAAGCTGTAACAGTTGTGAAGTCTGCATTTTACCAGATTTTGAAACCAGTTACATGTTTGGACAACAGATAAGGAGACTTTGAATAGCAAGAAACAATGAAGAGAGAGGCTGAGAGCTTGGAGAAGCAGTTTTGGTATGCAGTAAGGTTTTGGAGAGCAAGCAGTGGCAGCTGAAAAGGGGGATTCAGTGGTAAGGAGTGGGAAACATGGGGTGGTATTCATATCTGGAAGACAGAGGTTAGGGTTAGGGTTAGCACAGAGAGTGTTCCGGTGAGGGGAAGAGCAAGAGCCATCAGACAAGAGCTAGAAATGTGGTGCATTCGAGCCTGGATAGTGCAACCATAATTTCTGTTCATAGTCTCTGTGACTCACATGTAAGCATCTACTGGATGGGGTGTTTGGACCTCTGATGAGCTAAACATAAAAACTTTGTTTTATAAGATGTAGTACTTTTGTTGCAGAGCAGGTCTGTACTTTGACCCTACTGTTTACAGAACAGAACAATAATCAAATGAATTTGTCATTGATTTGTTTTATTAAAAGCCTAGTGTATAGTACTGTTCATAAACAGATTTAAAACCATCCTGAATGGCAGAGTGGATCAATGCTCCAGGTAAGCAGTGGAGCTATGATTCCTTCGATGCTGTAATGTGCATCAATGTATGTCATTAGTAATGACACTGAAAGTAGATGGTTAGTTTTTAAACAAGTTTGAACTGCCAATCACCTCCCTCATAAATGTCACATTGTGAAAGTTCCTGTTTTTCTGTTCCTTTCACATGCCCTTTAACAGGCTGATATGGACAACCAGTTGTCATGTTTGGCTAGTAGTACAGATGGTTGCTGCTGTCTCATTTCTGGCTTTATCTAGGTATTTTTTCAAAATAGGGGCTAAGTTGAGGAAGATAAAATGTAATGGCGGTGGTGATGGCCAGCCAAAAGAAAGGCAGATCTGGAAAGAGAGAAACAGAGAATTAAAAAGTGATTGCCAGTAAGGAACCAGGAGACCGGGTTGAAACATGATAGAAGTACTTTTTACATGATTGCACAAATACTTTATTATATTATTTTTCCCCCATGTGTGTTTGTGTGTTACCCTTTAAGCACTTCATTTCATGTGTATCATTTTCATCCTTCAGCAGATGCTTCAGCAATGGTGGGCCAATGTCTTGTGTAGTGAACTACAGAGGATTGTTGCAACTAGGAATACATCAGTGAATTCTGCAGAAAGCATTTGACAACACATTCTATCTAATTTCATTTATAGTAGGCATGGAGAAAATATAATTTTAACTGGTGAATAAAATGGATATGCCACACATAGGACAAGAGTTCTTGTTAATCAAGTCTCAATATTTGAAGTTACAAAAGTATGCACCAACTATGCTAAGCGTGTCCTTTGGGTGTGATGCACTGAGATCTAAAATCTGTGGCCAAGACTCTGAGCCCTGTCAGAATTAGCATATCATACAAGGTAAGTTAAAAGCTGGTCCCAATCTGTTTGCAACTCTGCAGCCTGTTGAACAGATCCCATTTCAAGCTACAGTAGAGTAAAGCTGGAATTAGATACAAAAGAGAATAAAGAAACTGTATTTGATTGAGTGGGCTTACTGTAGAGCAAACTTTCCCTGCTGAATGGGATGATAGAAATTGTAGTGTAGCACCTGTGGTGGGCGGCTGGTTATAAAAAGCTGCTGTAGAGCAGTTGTCTCCAACCTTGGGCCTCCAGATGTTCTTGGACTACCACTCCCAGAAGCCTTCACCACCACCTCTGCTGGCCAGGATTTCTGGGAGCTGAAGTCCAAGAACATTTGGAGGCCCAAGGTTGGGGACCACAGCTGTAGAGGATGCATCAGAAGAAGATTAGACTGGGTGGGTAGTTAAATAAAAGCAAGAGTGTAGTTCAGCAGACCTACAGCTAACGAAAAAGTTGATCCCTGGAAGGGACGGGAGAGTAACACACAATATATAAAAGCTTAAGCAAAAACCAAGGGAGGAGTAAGATACTGCAAAAAGAATTGTGCAGAGTTTGGAACCGACCCTCCTGGACAGTCCAGAATATGACTATGACAAAATATCCATTCTTTATGTTTCGGCAGTCAAATGTTGCTCTTTTTGGTAGATAAGCAGATCAAATCATTAAGTAATGGATTAGGGTGATAAGGAAGCACGTGTGAATAAAGTGGCTAACATGGCTGACTTTACAAGACTCAAATATTTTGGAATGGCATCACAGTGAGCACTTGCCTGGTTCTGTGTTAGAGGAAGTACAGTATAGTTGTGCATCCTCTGGTCTACCTGCAGGTGTCCTTGTATGGTAATCTGGGTTTTCAGTACCATTGAATTTATGTTGGTGCTTGCTGTATTGTAGGCATCCCTTACACTATGCTATTTATTGATGAAGAAATTGTCATAGACCATGAACTGTGTAGAATGAAGGGCAAAAAAACAACATTTGCATTTGCTTTATTAAATTTCCCCTATAATACCAGTAAGACACAAATGCATATTTTTAGCTCTATATTTGATTTTGATTCAATCTTCATTCAGCTTTGCTGCATGCTGCCAAGTTGTGTACTGCCAAGTTGTCTATACATTCTGTTTCTTCGGTATATTAAGCATACTTCAAGATTAATGCAATATATTCTCCTGTACGCATAGTGACTTTCATAACTTTTATCGAAGCAGTTCTTTGTGGTTTACAAGTGCACTGTATGGGCGTAGATAGCCATAAAAGTTTAATAGAGCTAGCTGAGAGAAGATGACTATATACTTTGGTCAGAAATAAATCCTAATATCGGACAAGCTGTTTCGTATAGATCCAATACATTTCTTTGATGCAGTGGATTGAGGTGAAGGAAAACCAGCAAACAGTCAGAGACTTTGTAGGTGCCACCAACTTAAAGGTCAACAGAAGTGAATAATTTGTTCTATACAATACTCAGACACCTTGACAAGGCATCTTTTCATTTCGGATCTAATACATTTACCCAGAATTCCAACAAAAATAACTATGCTGCTGGTTAATATAGCCACAGTGTGAAGGAGGTACATGCCTTAAGTTTATGCGCTTTCCCCTGCCTGTATCTAGACAGAAACAACTATTTCCAACAGGAAATAGCTACAGTATAGGGTAGTTGTTGTTATATTGTAATTATCTTCCCAACCAATAGGGATGATGAAATCGAAGTGCTATCTTAAATATAGTTGTGTGAGTGGAGGGGAGAGGGAGGGTTTTTGCATAATGCTGAAGGAAAAAAAAGGATTGAAAGAGAGTACTTGTAAAAACTAACAAAGTCAAATTAGAGCTTTTATCTAGACCTCAGTGCTACTTATGGTTCTGAGGAGGGGACTGAGTTTTTGGCACATTTTCTTCTGTTGTTTAGAAATGACAAGTGTTATCCTATGTCCCTTTAATTTTTAACTGCCACTTTCATAACAGAAGAGGGAGTTAGAAAACTTATTTTTGTTTACCTTGGTTTGGTCGAAGAGGCATACAGTGGCATTATTTTGCTTATTGAATGATCTTAGGCAGATCACATTCTCTTAGACTTAACCCATGTTTGTCCCAAACATGGAAATAATAATTCCTTTGAAGCATTGGTTGCCACATGATGACTCCCAGTACATTGTTCTTCCATATCTTGTGGTAATTTTCTATCCCCAGCACCAGGTATCACCAAGAATTGGTGTCTCCTGTATGGAATTTCTCCATGGCAGGTGGAAAAACACCATGATACATCATCCTGCAATATATGATCGCAGGACAGTGATGTTTTCATGAAGGGGGCATTTCTGCTTTGTTCACATGAGGAAGATTGCATTTAAACTTAGGGTAAAGGGTAGGGGTTAGTCAAATAACATATATCAAGTGATTTATCATTCTTGAAAACTACAATGACTGTTGGTTTCTTTTAAAAATTATTATCCTATCATACCAAAGCTGGCTGGATAGCTCAGTGGTTTAGGTATTCGGCTGTGGAGCCAGAGGTTGGGAATTTGAATCCCCACTTATGCCTCCTGTGAGTCAAACCAGCTTCTGTGGCCTTGGGGAAGCTGCACAGTCCCAGGGCACCCTCAGAAGAAGGGAATGTGAAACCACTTCTGAGTATTCTCTATCTGGAAAACCCTGAAAAAAGTCAGAATTGACTTGATGGTACATGGTTATTATTCTCATAGCATACCATTATGGCTTTAAAAGATAACTCACATTCCAGATAAATAGATGGCACCACTGATACACATTAAAACACACTGCTGTTTCATTCATTATCATGGAATGTCAGAAAAGATGTTGTTTTTCCTGTTGTGGTCTTGACTTGTGACTTGTTGACCTATGAATTCGCTATCATACACTCCTTGGATCAATATTTCTAAAACTTTGCTAGGGGGTATTTTTGAAGTTTAATTTCTTACGTATAAAAGAGAAAATGTGGAAGTTGTTTTTTTGATTAAAGCAAATTGCTTAAAAATTAATACTTTTCCATTGAACCGAAAAAGTGACATAAACAAAGACTGCGAAAGCACTATCATTATGTTATTGCCCATTTATAGCTTAAAATAAAATGGGTCCCCATGTGCAAACCAGAATTATGCAGAATGTCAATTAAATCAACCATAATCTCCCAAATACATTTTTTATTGCTGGATTCATTAGGAAGGCTCTTAAGGTAATGAATAGTTGTCACTTTTACCAAGGACTGCTGGCTCCTTTATAAATGATGACCACTAAAAATGCAGAAAAGATATTTTAAAATCTGGCTGCATTTAAGCTCAGCCTTTATATTTTGAGTGCTATAGAATTCCGTGCGACCCGATGTACTATGATGATCAGTACATAGTAATCACTTTTGTTCTTCAGGATATATACATTTGGGGAGGGCATTTTTTAAAGGGGATATGTTAAAATAATTAGTGGTGCAATACATTTGAAATGTGTTTATCCAAGTCCAGTAAGCTATTCCTGATAACTTCTTTTGTTTTCTTTCCTATAGCAAGTCCACATGCAACACCATCGACTCTTCATTTTCCAACATCACCCATTATTCAACAGCCTGGGCCATACTTCTCACACCCAGCAATCCGCTATCATCCTCAGGAGACTCTGAAAGAGTTTGTCCAACTTGTCTGCCCCGACGCTGGTCAGCAGGCTGGACAGGTGGGGTTCTTAAATGTAAGGAAGCCATTTCTATTTTTTTTTGTTTCAGATGTCTGTGTTTTTTTGTGTGAAATAACCATAGAATTATATGAACAGGTATTTTTAACATGTATGAAGAGTCTCTTAATTATTCACAGCTATAGAAAGCAAACAAGCTGATTGGAAAACTTGGACCAGTCAGAGTTACACCAGGGATTTTGAAAGGTGTCATGTCAGAGAGCCTGTTATTCTATTATAATCCTTCTGGCCCAGTATTTACTACTTGCATTGTATAACGAAATTGCAGGCAATAGACAAAGTAGTCTGATCAGATGCAGAATTCCACCCAGGCTTCGTAAAACCATTTTATGCAAGTCTACTTTGTACACTGTCAAATGCAGGATCATGGTGTCTAGCTGTCGTAAGCTAATACACAGCCACAATGTGAAGGATATACATGCCTCAAGTTATGCGTTCTCCCCAACCTGTATCTTAAAAGAATCTCTCATGTGATATTTTACTTATATGCATATACATATACATATCAACCTCTCTCCCTGTGCAAATCAAACTCTCTCAACAAAGGGTGGGTGGATCACATGAGTGGTTCCTACTTGTAAGATTGTTCAGGTTCAGCCAAGAGATTGTGTTGGAGCAATCAGTGTATGAACTAGAGGCTTGCTGCTAGGTCTCGCCTTCTGTACATCTTACAAGAGTTTCGCATACTGTGAAGCAGGATATCGGTGAAATGAAACTGTGTCAACTGACCAGTCAAAGAATTGTTAAATAATGGTAATAGTTTATTAAGTAGTGGTCAGGTGAATAAGCACTTTTTACTAGTAAGTTAACTACAGACATAATTAGTCTATTTATAGAAGAAAATACTGCTTTCAGTCTAGAATAGTGGTTCCTAATCTTGGTGTTCTTAGACTGCAATACCCAGAAACTCCAGCCAGCACAGTCTGAGAACATCTGATTTCAAGATTTGGAACCAGAGGTCTAGAAGACCCCAAAGAGATTTATAGAACATTCTGCCTTTGTCAGCATTATGTGAGTGAGTCTTAGGCTTGGTCACATTATGTCTTTGTCCAGCATGGACCTCGGAAGGATGGAAGGCTGAGTCAACCTTGAGCCGGCTACCTGGGATTTGAACCCCAGGTCGTGAGCACAGTTTTAGCTGCAGTACAGCGTTTTAACCACTGCGCCACGAGGCATGTCTTTGTCCAGCATGACTACAAATAGGAGATAAGGAGTGTTTGCTCCCACTGTTCAGCATCACTGTCAAACCCTGACACATTGCAGTTACTTGATTATATTTTACTCAAATATAGTTTACCAAAACCAATAATTTCAAACTGTAGTCTGTGAAACAGGCTCGTTTCCCTAACCATAGTTAAGATAAACCCTTGTTTAAGGTTTCAAATAAGTCTAACTGATTAATTGAAAATGGGGTGGGATGCTGCCAGTCTCCTTCCTGTGCTAAAGGAGGAGAAAGAAAGAGGCGCAAAGAGGCCCAAATAATGCTAAAACATAATGTAGCTTTTAATCCAAATGAGCCCTGCATGTCACATGGAAGCATTATCTGGCAGCACAGTTATTTATGGGTCTGTAATGAATGTTTGTGTACTGTCTTCAGATTTCCTTCTGAAAACCAACATGCATATCTTCCCATGTGTACTGTATTCTCGTGTCTATACAGACAAACCAGCAGTTTGATAGTACATGTCCAGGAAAGGCTAGTTAAATATGTAGGCTAATTGAGCAAGGCTGAAAGAAGAGTCCAGAACTGATCAAGATGAGATGAGGGTCTCCAGATTACAGTGTAGTGGGCACCTGCCTCAATTTAAGATGAGTGTGTATGTATGTGCCTAGTATGTACAAGGATAGAGTTCAATGGAGTCTCACTCTTACCGTTACCAGCAGATTCAGTAACTGTTACTTACCTTTGGTCATTCTTGACTTCAAAGAATATTTTCTTTGGTAAAATCATAGGCTGTCATTTGGTAATAATTTGACTGGTCAATTCTGGTTTCTTAGCCTTACATCCATGGTGCTACATGCAATCTGAGGTTCTAATTCATTCTTAGGAAGACTGTCACCTTCCATGATTGCAAAGATGAATGATCTAGCTTCATGTTTCTGACATCCTGTGTTAAAAAAAGTCCATTAACCTTATAATTTTTATTAATTATTTCTGTATTGTTAGACACAGCTGTTTTAGATCAGTTACATTTGCTTTATTTTTAAAGAAATAACTTTCTTATAGCACTTTAGACTAAGCTGACCAGTATTTGAACTCAAGAAGATAAAAAGTACAGCTTTTTTATGGTTTGTTATTCCTAAAAACTGATATCTTTCTTCCTTATCTCTCTGAAAAATTAAAGAACATTCCAACATTCTGGTTGAGCAGTCTCAGGTTGTTGTTTTTCTCAAACGAATTTCATAATTATCTTCAGATTATTGGAATAACATTCCATTTGGATGCAGAAATGATTAACTGTGTGTATAATCGTATCTTGAATAATGTTTGGGTGCCTTTAAAATAGTAAGGCACTTAACTGAAGAATCATGTTAGCTGATTTTACTCTTTAGTCTTCTGATATACATTAATTCTGGCAGTATATTGTATGACTTTTAGCACCCAATTTGTTACCTGTGTCTCATAAAACTATGTCTGACATGGTTGCCACTGCATCAGAGCTATACCTTACTGCTGTATCCAAAGAACTATGAGCAGAAGGAAAATAGCCACGAGCACTCTTCTGCAAATGTGGAATGTGTGTAGCTGCCAGTGGCCAGGCTAGCTAGGAGATACCTGGGAGCTACCATCCAGATACTAACTTTTCCAAGCTCTGTCCAAAGATAGTTGCTCCTAGCAGTTCTCATGTTTCTGTTTATGCAAAAGAAGAAGCATAAACTCAATATTTTTTAAGGTTTATGCTGCATATTTGTAACAGAATGGACTTAGTGGAACTTTACATCAGAGTAGGCAGGCATGCTTCAGATTACATGTTTACTTTCTCTGTTCCTTCTCAAAAATCTGGGGCAAGGTGTAAAAACAGTCTTTGTTTCTTTGAATGTAGTCAAAGATGAACCTATATTTTCCAGCCTTTACATATTTTAAAAAGTACCCACACTATACTAAGAAGTATATTGACTAGATGTTGATGGAAGTTTTTCTTAGATGTTGCTTTGCTTAGCGTATCTCACAAGATGATAAACATGCATATAGCAAGGCTGAAACAAAAGTTGCTCAAAGTGACCCCATTTTTGTAGCAGATCTATTAGAAGAAATAAATGGGGAGAGTTATAAAAAACACACATGAATGGTGAGAGAACCTACTCACAGACCGTTTATTCCAAATTCCAAGTTACGTTTTCACATTTGTTTGTTTGTTTGTTTGATACTGTTCAGTGTTGGGTGTGATGTCCCTACAGACTGCTGCTAATTAAAGACTTCTTCAATTCCAGGGTGCACATAGTTTCATAGCATTGTCTACAAGTTGTACATACCCTAAAACTGAAAAAAGGTGCTTGCTGGCAATCTGAAGTTGCAGTTGACTTTGCTCTGGTTATGCAGGAAACATACTGCCCACTCCATTTGAGCTAAAGTAGGCACAAGGGCTCGCAACTATCATAAAGTGTAATGGATCCATTAATGACATATTTTAAATAAATGAGTGTACCCAGTGTAGTTGAATTAGGAGCCGACATCTCAGTCTCTCCCACCTTTTTGTGTATAAAATAAATGAAGCTCATAAGCAGGAATAGTGCTCACTTCCTCAAGTTGCTCTCATGCTAAGCAATTGTTTCCAGCATAGCCAGTGGTTAATTTTATTTTTTTCATTCAGTGGATTCAGATAGTCTGTTGTGATCTTGTGTGATGCTGGGTTCATCACTTCTTTAAACATTCAACATAATAGAAGTGAATTGGATTTCTACCTTATGAGTTACTTCTAAACAGTACCATAGTCTTGCAAACTCATTAGCAGCTGCACCACTTTAAGACAACTATACTTCTATATACTTCTAAACAGTACCATAGTCTTGCAAACTTATAAGAAAAAGAATATGGCTTATATCTCAAGTTGTTCTTTATGCAGGGGAAGTGATTTGCACCAAATTTTCCCCTTCATCTGCGGCTACCACTGCACCTTCCACACTATCTCAAGATTAGATTTCAGGGAGCTGCAGCAGAAAAGGGAAAGCATCAAGACCCAGTTCCATAAGCACCATGTCATACACAAAAGGAAATTTAGAATCTCACAGATTTGCTTGAATTCCAACTATGGGTTGCTTGTGTATTTCTTTAGTGGGGAGCATTATGTTTATAGCATAAGTGTTGAAGCCAGAAGCAGCTAATCATCTGTTTTTCTTGTGTCTTTGGCAGCCCAATGGTAGCAGTCAAGGCAAGGTGCACAATCCATTCCTTCCTGCCCCAATGTTGCCGCCGCCACCTCCACCACCAATGGCCCGGCCTGTGCCTCTGCCAGTGCCAGACACAAAGCCTCCAACCACGTCAACAGAAGGAGGTGCCGCATCTCCCACTTCACCAAGTAAGTACAGCTCCAGTGAAGAAACAAAGGGCTGAGGTGTATTTGCAACTCAATCAATCGTTTCTTCATCATTCTGGAAAATGAAAGTAGAAAAGTCATGGACACATTTTTCTGCCTTCCTGTTTAGAGATCTGCAAAGCACGCTAAGTGTTTTATCTTATCTAGGACTCACTCCTTGTAGGTGGAATGAAGATAGATTCCAAAAACTGCTTCGCAACTGAGGTGTTGCAGTCGTTTATTTAATATTGACCTAGAAGTGGTCATCCGAGCATGTAAATCATCCAGTAGAGTTCACACCATAGCAAATCCATCAACCTTTCTTTTTCAGTAAATCAGGCCTGAGCAACTCAAGTTGATCCCATTGTTTCAAAAGGTTCTCGACCTCTTCACAACCCGTAAACAGCAACCTAATAGTGTTCTCCCTTAAAACACCTCAGTGGCCAGCTTTCTCTTTCCATGTGCTACTGGCAAGATAACTCTCATTCTTTCTCTGAAGTGGGAGAGGCTGCCCATGCAGCAACTGCAGCTCCAAATCAGCATCCTATAGTAGATCACTAAAGCTGCTCCCATTAAAAAGAGCCTGTATAGTGTTGGGGTTGAGAGTCCTGGGGTTAAGAAGACCTGGATTCAGATTCTCACTTGACTATAAAACTCATTTGGGTCAGTTTGTACTTGTCACACCCTGTTAGTCTAACCTACCACACAGGTAGGTTGCTGTGGGGAGGAGGGAAGTCAGGTGTGCCACCTTGAACTAATTGATGAAAAGGTAGAATATAAATGTAGTAAAGAAATGAAACAGAAGCTATCCAAGCTGCAGGTATATCCTAATTATGTTATTCATACAGGAAGCAGCCATGGGGTGCTAGTGGCTTTCTCCTGGAAAGGCAATGTTGTGAAATGCTATAGCAGCCCACAATCTCAGTAGGTTCTTTATCACTACTGTCTTTCCTCTGAGAAAAAAAGTAGCAGTGTTACAGTTTTTCCTTTAGGAAGATATAATGTTAAAGCAGTAACCCTGAATCGCCAGCAGATTCGGATTTATTCTATGCAGGCAATGTTTAATTGCAAGGATGTCATAATAGAAAACCTCTTTTTTCATTTAAGACTGGCAGTAGGAATAAGGTTGGCATCAGCAGGCAGAAGTCCTGGTGAATTCAGGCAATGATTTATAATGATTGCTTTCTCCCAGCTTTCTCTTTTCCTGCTTGTGGGAAGATGAATGATGAGCCATTTGTGGAGTATCTAGTAGCTAGATGATCTGGGAGGCTGAGCAAATCCACTGTGTTTTAAAATTTGGCACTGGGTATATCCATCTGTCTCTTTACTAACTAATGTTGGTTTTTTTCTCCTATAGATAATGTATCTGGATATACAGATATTTTTGCACTTTTTTTTACCATAGATAATTATCATTCCCATTTTACAGAATATAACAGAGGCCAAGGATGCTTCCAAAATAGGTATTTTCTCTGGAATTCACTCATCTTTTCTGGGGCATGGTAAAAACCCAGTCCTTCTGTAGCTGTTTTCACCATAACTCTTCTGCCTTTTCTCAGACCACCAAATAAATAAACACTCAAGCTTGTTCTTCAAAAGAGCCAAACACTAAAGCAGCCTTTGGAGTTGCAGGCATTGTAACAGAAGCATTGTCATCTTTTTGCAGAAGTGGTTTCTTTAACTTGTGATAATATGCCCATATTTCGTTACTTACTTTCATTAATCAAAGTCAACTCTCTGGTGAAGTTAGTGATGGGACTGAGGTTGCTTCAGTGTCTCCTTCAGTGATTAAAACCATCTTCACCAGTGCTTTTCCCCTTTCTTTTTTAATGGAAATAACTATATTGCAAAAAGCAGAATATTTCTATAACAAAGGGGGGCTGCCGCCACCCAATCTTTACATCTCATCCCACCCACATGCCTACCAGCTGGGCTTGCCTTTTTCTGTGTTGTTCTTAGTATTTGCTTCCTGTCTGTTTGCCTTCCATCCTCCCCTCCATGGCTGGCCTACTGTTGCCTTTAGTTAAACAGCCAGCACACCTTGAATCAACTCAAGGGAGGGAAAAGGAAGGGTAGAGGTGCTCAGGATAGAGATGTGGAAAAGCATTCCAGGCATGGAGACAGCAAGGAGGTTGGATGGTTGCCAGGCTGAGAGATATGTTAGAAGGATAGGGTCAACTGGGGTAGCCAGCTTACCGCAATTAACCCTGGTTCAACTCTCATTTTCACTTGACAAAGTGAGCCTTCGTTGTCACCACAAATGGATGAAAACTACAGAGATAAGGGGTGTAAATCCTCAGTAGTTGCATCCTGATACATATGGACAATGAACTGCAGCAATCTCTTCCTCACTAGCCCATCTGGCAAGGAATTTTATAGCGCTCTTGACTTAGTTCTTGCATTTTGCTTTTAAAAAATGCTGATTTTTGAACAAAGGCGCCTGCAGTTGGTACAATTGCATAAAATGGCCCAACACTAAATACATTGCTGGTTATTTAAGAATTTGAAGCACTTGATGGATTGTTTGAATCTTTCTTTGCAATCTGCTAGTCCTTCTGTGCTTGCTGTTCTTCGCTTCGTAAAAAGAAAGGACACTAAAGACATTGCTTACAGAGACCTTGAGGCAAAACAACAAGAAGAAAGAGCTTGTTTTCTTGCACTCAGTTGGATATGAGGAATCTTGTGGAGCTTTAGAATTCCCACTAAGAATGTTTCACTATGTAGGGACAGCTTTAATCAATGAGGATAAGGAATTTATCACATATTTTTCCCAAAGGTGATGGAGATGTGTGCTGATGTGGAACAGAAAGGACTCTCATGCCAAAGAACACACACTGTTTCTCACCTCTCTCCTATCCTATGGGAAAGAGTGGATGCAATATAGTGTCTAGAGACTGTATTGCTCTTTAAAAAAACCTTCTGCTCATCTTCTGTTGGTAACTATCACAGCCTCATCCACACATCCAATAGACCCTTTCTCAGCCTTTAGAGTAGGTGCAGGCTCTTGGTATCACCACTAATCTTCTAGACCTTTAATTGTGGTTGCTGAATAGTTATCAAAAGCCTCTGCTGAATTCACAGCAGAGCTTGTAAAAGTCCCTTTCTCAGACTACAACTCCCCAACATCCCAGCCACCATGGCCAAAAAAGTGTCACGTTCTGGTTCATAGCATTGGAAAGAGTTAAACTACAGTTTTGCCATTTGGAGCCTGGTGGTCTACACTCTCTACCTACGCTGGCTTTAAAGTGTGTCCAGAGCCAAATGTGTAAATAAAGTTAATTCATATTTGGCCTTTATTTTTATCTCCTCCCTGGGTGGATATAAGGCATCTAATAATGAGAGGAGGATGTAAAGAGTACTGTTTAAATTAAGATAAGCATCTCTAGCCAAGAAGATGAGATCCATACAATTGTTGGGTTGTTACAGAGAGCATATCTAGCCATAAGATCATGTCATACTGGGCCTCTCAGGGTGAATTCTCTGTACATGCTGTCTGCTTTATGATTACACCTCCCCATGATGAACCCTTTGTATAGAGCAATCACCTACAAAACTAACAGAATTATGTGACATGATTTGTGAATTGGGTGTTTTGTGCCAAAAAGGCATGGTAACATCTATCCACATGTTTATTCTAACAGAATTTTTTAAAAAAAACTGCATCCAAAAAGCCTAAAATATGCCTGAAGAAAAATTATGTTCCATGACCTGCATAAATTAGCTACATTTTCAAAATGCTTATCCTTCATTTCTGTTCCTCCCGTCTGTTCTGTTCCTCCTGTCCTTTCTGTCAGGCAAGAATCTCTGCAGGGCCCTGAAATCTCACTGCTTCTAGTCCTCATTAGCTTGCCTTCTTGCTCCTGCCATTTCATCGAGCCAGTTTCCAAATCCAGCTTCACATCTGTCATAGACTATAAACTTGCATTTAAAATAAGTAATTAAACCTATGATTCTTGGGGTGCTGAGTTCTGTCGTCCATACAGTACTTATGAAAGCTGTGAAATCAAGAACATAAGCAGCTCCACAGAAGCAGCCTTCTATACCCACAAACCATCCGCATGTTGCTGTTTGACAAAGTTTATTGTTTGCCCTAGTAGAAGTATCATGTAGAAGAGGAAAATTAAAATCAGGTGAACAGATAAATCTGCTGGCTTTTGCTGGCTAGTTCTGCTATCACAGTTTCTTTCACAGACAGGTTTGCATCCACATCTGGAAAAAACTGCTGATCTTTCATTTCCTTTGCATAGGCTTTGGTTCTGAAAGCACTTTGCTGGCACCAGCCCATTTCCTAATGTCTGTAGCATGCTTTATGGTAGAAGGTGTTGCTCCCGTGCAAAATTATTGTCTTTCTAAAGTGTTCTGTCAAGTTCTCTGTTTGCATCGTAGTAAAAGCGTTTCCGGGGTTTAACATTAGCTCAAGCCATATCAGAATACTGTAGCTATTCATGCTATGCCTCTGTACATATCTTCATTCTTGCAAAGAAGAAAGTGTGCTGCTTTAGATGACTGCTGCCCAGAATTCTGCCTTACAAGCAGTTATCCTTGCTCAGCCCATGTGTCTTTGAAAGTAGTCACATTTTCAGGGAATTTTAAATATGTATCTTCCATATGAAAGACAATTTCAAACATTCATATGAATGAATTTGCTTTTGGCTTGCACCACTTTGTGTACTGACTTGTACTTTGTAGCTCAAGACTGTCAGCTCTGAAAGACAACAACCCCGCAGCCTGGGATTGTTTTTAACTAAGAAAGCCATGAACTGCACTTCAGATGCTGTATATATAAAACAGATGCTCTTCCACTGGCTTCTGCATAGTAGAAGAATATTCAGAACTCAGTTCTTACATAAATAGAGAATTGATGCTTTCCTTTTGCATCACACTGGTACTAGGTATATGTTGCCTGAACATTTCAACCAATTTAGAAGGGAAAATATATGTGGTTTCTGCACATGGGCCTAAATCCAACTGGTAATCCCAGCTATACTGAAACCACCAGATCA